TTTTTTTTTTGAGTTAGTGGATTCTAATTGTATTTCAAAATTTCCCAATTATAGATCTTTATCTCTTTAATTGCTTTGTAGGAGTTGGAACAACGGAAATTCTGGAAGGGTACGCTGGAGCCGTGGAATGCTTGCGACGTTTGGATCCGACATGTGTTATCATGCAACAGATATGCTCAATAATCCGAAATTACATCAAGTAAATATCGTTTTTGTCGAATTACTTGTTTCTCGAAAATCTTTTTCCCTTTGCCTGAGTGGTACCTGTGATTGTTGGGACGCAACCGTACCTAGCGAACGGAGGTCATAGGGCTGAGTAAAAGCGAAAAAAGCTGTTATATCCATGGCTGTTACATTTTTTTTAAAAAGCTGTTACATTTGAGTTCAAATGGTGATGCCCCACGTGCACCAAGATTGTCTGAGAGTGTGCCTTTGTAATAGGTCTTCAGCTTAGTGGATTTCGCGAAAGAAGCATCTGACAAGGTGCTAAAGGCAATCTAAAGGCACCTTGTCAGATGCTTCTTTCGCGAAATCCACTAAGCTGAAGACCTATTACAAAGGGTGAAGCAAATATCAGAATCGCCAGTGGGCTGACCACTGGTCATCTCTGTATGGTTGGACAGTGATTTACAGTTGATCCGAGTGTTCTAGTGATCTGGGGGATTCACTTAAGACTTGATATTTAGCTAATTTCAGACAAAGGCCAGATACAGTACGCTGCATAATAACTTATATAACGGGCGAAAAACGAGAGGAACTAAGCAAGCAATTGACGCAACGTCGAGCAGCAATCCTAGATGAGGAGGAGATGCTTGGAGTTAACGACGAATTTATACCTGGTGGCGAAGATAATACTGGTAATATTTCATTTTTTTGCTTTTTTGATATCAAGGATTATCCGATAAAACAACAGAGGTGGACGAAAAGAAGTGAAATTTTATCTATTGGGATAGTCTGGATTCCAAAGTACTCTGTTATGGACCTTTTTTCTCCCCACTTTCGCTCTGTTTTGCTTCTTTTCCCAGACGCACTCGTTTTTTCTTGTTTTTCAAAGCAATGGAAATCGCAAAAAAGGAAAAATCAGGAGTAGCAAACTCGAAAAAGTTTCGAAAGAAATCGTTTTAGTTTGCAG